AATCTCTTTTGTCATCTGAGGGGACTTTTTTCAAAAAGTTCTTTAAGAAACTATTTGTATTCATAAAAAATTACATTTTTGGAGGTATTTTCAAATCGGTCCAGCTCACTTAAATCTTAATATTTTTCCGAAATATTTTGGTGAACGTCTTAAAATATAATAAATTTTCTAATCCCGGCGGAAAAACCGCAACTTTTTTTGGTGATGCAGTCTAATGTACATATATTCTTGGCGCTGAAGTATTATGTAGTTCAAATAGCCCAATCATTTTAGATTTTTTCAACGAAAAAATTCCGGGAAGAAATTTTTTGACGCAGTTAGGTGTCTCCTGTTTAGGTGAACACAAAATCAAAATTTTTCGCCCAATTGCGATATCGGAAGTGTCCGCCATCTTGGATTTTATGTTTTTTTACGATTTGCGCGCGAATTTTGCACATGTCGCGAAAAAAGGTGAACAAATTTGTTGAGAATTCGATTCCCTACAATTTCCATGTTCCTATAAATTCTTTTAAACAATTATTTATTGCTAATAATATGCAAAAAATGCCCAAAATTAGGCAAATTAGGCGTAAAAAACAAAATCCAAGATGGCGGACACTTCCAATATCGCAATTGGGGGAAAAATTTTGATTTTGTGTTCACCTAAACAGGAGACACCTAACTGCGTCAAAAAATTTTTTCCCGGAATTTTTTTTAATCTTACGTAAATTTTGGTCTAAAATGATTGGGCTACAAATGTACAAAGGCAAAGAGAGCTGACCGAAGCAATATTATTTGATGTGAGTAGGCGGTAGGAAACGGGAAATTTTGTTTGAATATTTTTAGGATTTAGTTTTTTACTGGTGTATATGATTTGTATGTACGTGAGGGAGAATATATTTTATATATATATATATGTACGTAGCTTAGCGGATTTTTTCCTCGATTTTAAGAGAGATACGGGTATACATATATGTGTTTATGTGATTATGTGAAATGAGAGGTTTTTTGCTCAACGGTAAATGAAGAATAGGGCAATTCCGTTTACCATTTTATGCAAAAATGCGCTAAACTTTTTATAAAATGTATATATGTAGGTACATGTGTACATATGCATGTTTTTGAGTAACTTACTTTGGCATTTGACTTGGGTACAAACTTT